TATTGCACCTAAAACATAAAATGAAATATCGCACATGTTGACAGTGTTGTTCATGAAAGTGAAATGAAAATATGAAATATTGCGCATTACATGTTGCATTACACAAACTACTGAGGAGTGATTTTACCTGAATATTCATTTGTCCTCCTTTAAGACATTAAACCACATTAATGTGACTGATTTCCTGTTATTGGCACCATAAAACCAGCACAACACGTTTAACCATTTCCATCCACGCGTTCCCTTTTTCTGTCACGAGGCCTCCATTATGGCCGCCCGGTTGCCTAGCAGCAGGGTTCCTTGCCCACTTGAACGTTCGCCCCTTTCATGCGACGTGCTTGACTTCTCCTGCCGAAGTCATAAACTCCTGATTGCCTCATGAAGGCGACGTACGGTGCGGTCGTACGGTGCAGTCGTACGCGAGGCGATTGCCGGAAATTGTTCCTCTCGCCGCCGCCGAGGAGAATCTTCCAGTTACTTAAACGCACCGCGAGGAAATGAGGAAGCTTCTGGAGCTAATAGGGAGGAAACGTGACACAGACGTCTGTGCTTTGGTGGGCGGCAGCTTGATGTGACAGGAGATCCAGATGTGCAGCACGTAAGCAGCTTCACCAAAGACTGAAATGTTTCTCATCTGGTGGCTTCAGCTCCTCCGTCCTCATGTCTGCTCCGTGTTCCTGCATTTACATTACATACACTGTAAAAATAAAAAATCTAATCAAAATGTTAAGATATGGACACAAAAAATTCTGTAATTTTACATTCAGACATTGAATTTTTTTAAAATTAATTACATAATCTAGATTTACAATAAAAATAATAATAGCCTGCTTTTTTATGGTTAACCTGTAAATTAAAACCTGTTTTCTGTGATTTTAGTGGACGTTATCTAGGATTAAATCAAACAGAAAAATTACCAATAAAATTTGAAAATAGTTTTTAAAAATGTTGTCGTTTTATTTATTTATTTAGAACAAATTGACATTTTCTAGTTGTTTGTTTTTTAATGTGGATGGTATTCTAACATGTAATGTAAAATACATTCAAATACATTTTGACATTTTTTGTCCAATTAAAACGGAGGAAATCTGTGAAATAACAGCTAAAAACTTCTTTTTTCTTAATATAATATTTAAAAAAATGTTTCCTTCAAATATCTATAAACTAACGTAAAATAACTTCCTTTTTATTGCTGATTTAAATATAGTAAACAAAAAAAAACATTTTTAAAAGAGACTAATTTTTCTGTCAAAGAATAACAAAAATAGAACAAATAGAAATACAAAATTCTGTTTTTCAAAATAAAGATTTTTTTATATAGTTTTGCCTTGTTGTTGTTTTTATAGTTAATGTGTAAATGAATACTTTCTGGCTGATTTTACTGGTCATTATCAATAACTTAGCCAAACAGGGTGAAAAAGCTTTATAGAAAAACAATATATTGTTTGAAAAATTCTAGTTAACTGTTTAAAACATGTCCAGGAACGGCATCGTTGGTTTATGATGTGTGTTTATAGACGGTGCGTTTCATTTCTACCTTCTCGTCGTTGTGCTTCCTGTTGTGGAACACACTGTATTCCATTTCCACAAAGCACAGCTCTCTAAATCCCACACACCGGTCCGCTAATGCCATTAAACACACAGTGTAAATACAGAACGGCATTTTCCCTGATTTTACTCCTCAATATCGGAGCTTATTTCAGTGAAAACGTTGACCCACGCCCATGGCAACAGAAAACTCAGTGGTCAGCACTTGACCTTTTCCATTCCTGTTGTTTTCTTCTTATCCTTATTATCATCCCACTCACTATTTTCCATTATTCCCCTCCTCCTCGTCTTATTATTCTGTCATTATAATGAGAAGACCATCGCTGAAATGATAGGTGGCTCCAACAATAGCTTCTGACGTGTTATTGGCCAAACTCTAGTTATTCGCTGCACAAACCTGGAGCCACATTCCAAGTCTGAGCCGCTGGGGACCTGTGAAGGACGAAGAAGCAGAAAAAAAACCTGCTTTAACCAAGCTGCCATAACTCCAAGGTAGTAGGAAAAACACACAGCGTACAGCTCTGTGTGATTCAAAAACACTGGCAGATGTGTTCTCCGTCTCATCCGCGGGTGGATTTTTTTCACGAATAAGTGTCCTTGAAAGGTGCGGCGGCGCGATGATTCCTATTGATCTGAGCCGTTTTGTTTGTTCCACGTTCAGGCCGGGACGACGCTAATGCACGTATGTGGAAATTTAAGCCCAGCCGATTGTGTTAAAGCAATAAGTTGACACATTGTGGAAAGAGTTAGATAAGAGCACCGATGTCAGGTTTATTGGGGGGATTATGTATCAGCCCGTTTGTCAGAGAGGAGGCAGTTCCCAGGCAGCTACGGGAGACTTCAAAGTTACTGATCCGGGGCCAAGAAATCGCCCTCGACGTAACCCCGAGTAATACGGCAAATTGTCATTTTCACACTTTGGTGTTTTTGTGTGTGTGTGTGTGGATTAAACAAGCAAGATATAACTCGTTAATTAGTGAGATTTAGAAGCGCTGAGGGGCAGAGCGTGTTACCTTCGGCCGGAGCCGGGCGAGCTGTTTCCAGTCTGTGAGCTAATCCGAGCTAACGAGCTGCTGGGCGTAGCCTCGTATCTGCCATCCGGAGAGAAGAGGGCTGCTGATCTCCTCATCTTACTCTAATAACGAGCGCGTTTCCCAAAATGCACAAGTGGTCTTTCAAAGGTGCAACGAGCGAGATGCTGAACGTAAATGAAGCGTTGTTATCGCAGCAAACAAAGATCTTCTGTGTCGAGTTATTGTGGAGTATCAGAGACTGAAGTCCACTGCCTTTGTGTGTGTTGCAGTCCAACTTTCTCTGTGTTGTATTTGGGCTGTGTATGGATGTTGTTGCATGTGCGTACCTCTCTTTGAAATTGTTGGCGGTCTCTGTGCTCGTAAATAGACTGAGAGCGACTTCAGGCTGCACAGGAAAAGTGAAGTCCAGCATTCAGCCGGGGCGCTAAAATTAAAAACAGTTATCTGAGAAGACTATTATTGACCAAAGCTTTTATTACATCTTGACTATAGCAACCAGAAGACTTGTGGAAGAAGGTTCTTTGGTCTCAAAATTGAGCTTTTTAGCCATCAGACGCTATGTTTGGGGGACACCAAACACTGCATGTAATTACAAGCGCCGCATCCCCCACTGTGAAGCACGGTGGTGGCAGCATCATGATGGTGAAGCACGGTGGTGGCACCATCATGACGTGAAGCACGCTGGTGGCACCATCATGACGTGAAGCACGGTGGTGGCACCATCATGACGTGAAGCACGGTGGTGGCAGCATCATGACGTGAAGCACGGTGGTGGCAGCATCATGATGAGGCTTCTCAGTAGCAGGCCCTGTTCAGGCTTGTAAAGGTGGACCTGGTGCAGAAGAAGATTTATTTTCCAGTAGAGCAATGACCTGAAGCCAAAGCTACGCAAAACTGGTTTAAAGACAACAAGGTGAATGTTGTGGGGTGACCAAGTCAGAGCCCAGACTTTAATCCAAAACAGAGTTTGTGGCTGGACTTGAGAAGAGCTGTTCATTCACGATCCCAGTGCAACCTGACGGAGCCTGACCAGGGCTGCAAGGAAGAATGGGGTAAAACTGTCCACATGTGCAAAGGTGATTGAGACCCAGGCTTGAGTTTAGCTGTGGCTGAAGGTGCATCTGCTAAAGAGGGTTAACACTTGTGCAAAAGTTTATTTTACTTTTTTTTTTTT